CGCTTTAACCACTAGGCTACCCGACCGCCCCCATTTTCCATTCTAGAAACAGAATGCCCGACAGTACATTGATCGGTTGGTCGTGATGCTAAGGCTCGAGTTTGAGGGAGTGAATAAGTATGGTTTTACGCCGCCTTCAGCAATATCCCATCAATTTCACGGACATTGCTCCCAGTCCCTCTTCTTCAACAGCTTTGACTGTTCAACTAATGTAGGCAGTTACCTCTCAACGGAATGTCTTAAGCCAAACTGGAACTCGCCGTTTGCTGCCTCAGCGCTGGTATCTAGTCTACTACGCTCTTGTTTATATACAGGGCACTAGTTCATAGGATATGAATGGAATGATTACGAACAGATATTGATAAATAAATAGTATTTAAATATTTAGTAGGAATACTTCTCACACAGTGTTTTATACCGGACGCAAACCATCCAAAAATGGTAATACTATTCATCTTCAACGTAACCTTCATTACAAAGAGTGCACGTCCTTTCATCTTTAGAAATATTAAAATACCTGCCGGTTTCTATTTTGAGACCATGAGAACTGCAGCGAAATTGTGCCATGGCCACAAGGAATTTTGCAATTGTTATATGTTTAAGGTATAAATCCGTTCCAAAAGTACCTTTAAAAGAAGTATAGTTTATAATTGCTGAAAAGAAAGGCGTACCAAAAAAGTTCTATCCTACTCTATGATGTCTCCGAGAAGCCTAATGCATCACTGGACTACCACTTCCTCCTCGTTGTGAAGACAGGAAGAACAATAATTATATTTTAGCAAGTGTATCTTCTTTTATCGATACAGAAAAAAATGTATCGTGTATCGTATCGTGACATGATAATACGCACCAGTGTATCATTTCACCTCTGCCAGTGATACAGAAATGATCGTTAAACACCGTCGCGTTTACTCCCGGATTTCATTCAATAGCCAAAATGAATACATGCGAACAATTATTTCAATGTGGGCATGTGGCTGGGTTGATACAATGTCTTTTCAATAACTACCTGTACAGGTGCACATCCTGGAACTGATTGTTACGTGGAATCGAGGCAGCTTGTAGTTCTGACATAGCAGGTAAATGTGACATATCCACTTCCTGGTCCACAAACATATGTACAAATACTCATTATAACGAATACCAAGCTGTTGAGACGTAAACGCCTTGAGCATCTGCACCAACAATACCTCTGAACTTCAAAAGGGGTTCTACGTTAAACATTAATGTAAATGAAAAGAAGATGTAAATTGTGTTTTCTGTTAAGTCTGGTCGCATGTCAAACACAAAGACCCGGTTCTTACATATATAAACCTTACACGAGGGCAACAGAGGTCATATCTGTAAACCTTACACGAGCGCAACAGAGGTCATATCTGTAATAATAATGATGATGATGATGATAATAATAATAATAATGATGATGATGATGATGATGATGATGATGATGATGATAATAATAATAATAATAACCAGCATGACTGTGCTAGGATCACCCAAACCCTCTTTGCTGCATTTTAATTTGTACATAATAATCCGGGACCTCCCCAGCACAGATCCCCAACACCCCTTACTCACCACCTTTACATGAGGATCCACACTGAAAAAAACCCAGATTCTGCTTGTCGAGTTTAATTTCTAATTACATCTGCATGTCTTTTGGACTTGGCAAAGGAAACATTCTTCATCTGAAACGTGGCAAGGTAGAAGAGGGAGCATCAGTCAGTTTACTTGGGGCTGGAGTTATTGACCATCTCGTGGAAGATGAGGCCTACACGTACTTGGGAATGCAGGTTAGGGACAAACTCCAGAATGCCCATATCAAGGAAAGACTTCTAGAGTTCAGAACTGAACGCTCGTAATGAAACCAAAGCAACAAATATTTATGCTGTATCCGCCCTTTCATATTCTTTTGATGTTGTTGATTGGACGAAACAAGAAATTCAGGGTATTGACACCCTCACACGAATGTAAGGGCATAATAATTCGTAAGTATTTCCCTTTGTTGTGATAGTGACCATAACGTCTCCGAATAGTCTACTGACGTCGATTGTAAATAAAAAAACAACATTCGAGCAGGTACGCGCCAGTACTGTCACTCTGCTTGAAAATGTTCGTAAGATGTTTAAATGCATCTAATACAAACATAAATCTCAACAAATCAGAAAGATGTTTATCATTAAGGAAGTAAACAGTAACAATATCGATTTAAAGTTTCAGCTGCGGTACCATATCGTCTATTCCGTTCAACTTAATTATTTTTTTAATAGTTTAGTCAATTTATTTGTTTCTTGAAGTTACTTACAAAACAAAAGGGGTCCGTGGGGCCCACGATCTGGAATCATTTTAATTTCGATGATATACAGTATACGTATTTGGAGTGAGTTTGATTTTAACAGTATTCCAGTTATATCACAGTGTGTCAGCTTAAAGTGGGAGGAAAGCCACAAGTAATGCAGGTCTCAGACGTTTGCCACTTTGGTGAACCCACTAGGACGGGTATGTTGCTGACAAACCTAGAAACATAAATGGGACGAACCGGGATTCGAACCCACTATCGTAGGTTTCTGGCGTGCCCAAGGGACGCAACTCTGCACAGCGAATTGCGGCGCCTCAGACGACGAGACCATCCGTGGCTCCATACGTATTTGGAGGTATGTGATTCAGGAAGCAATCAGTTTACAGATTTTGAAAATATGTTCAGACAATCGGCGATGTAGAACTGCGTTGGGAGCCCTGCAGCGCACACTTTCTGTCGATCCGAAACCCCAGCTGTGGTATATCGAAAACTGAAACCGTTAAAGAATAAGAGACTCCAGACACCGTAGCAATACTGTTATATATGGCTTTTCTCCTGTCATGGCACCGGACAAAGTTATTGTACTAGCACGCCGTGATATAACTGGAATACTGTTCAAAGCGTCGTTAAACCAAATTCACTCAGTCCCTGTTGTACCCATCTTCCCGAGGCAAGAGAGTTAACTGACTATAAAAGTCCAGTTTCCACCCTTGCCGAACTAGGCTGGTATTATGGAGTTACATTTTGGCTTGACTAACGAGTCTCTGCATAGTCCAATCAAAATCGCGCACCGAATCGAAATCCGGTTCGTAAAGTGTCATGCAGATTTCGGTCGACTGCAGGATTTGCAAAGCAAGTGCACCGCTAACTCGTTGTCAACAGATATTTTCTAAATCTTTTCATGTTTTTAATCAAGGTGCTCACGTGATTTGATGCACTTCGCGATGTAAGACTTATTTTATCACAATATAGATCTTGATTATCGATCAGATCATCTTGACTGGGCGCCACTGTTTTGTTTGAAGCAAATGCAAGTGATACGAGAGGTTGAATCTGATTGGTCAATAGGAGAGGCATAGAAAGGACATAACTGGTAATAGCCAGTGGTGGCGCTACGATCAAGCCCAGGAATTCCAGCCAAGTTCGGCAAGGGTGGAGACTGGAATTTTAAAGTCAGTTAACTCTCTTGCCTCGGGAAGATGTGTTGTACCAGGAGAGGGGTGATTCTATCATGATAGTCAGCGCCGTAATTCATAGGCAGAGTAACGTTCTTTAATCCCATGTCATTAGTTTGTTTGTTGTTTAACGCCACACTCAGCAATATTCAAGCAAGATAACGGCGGTCTGTAAATAATCGAGTCTGGACAAGACAATCCAATGATTCAAATGACGTGCATCGATCCACGCAATTGGGATACGATGACATGTATCAACCAAGTCATTGAGCCTGACCATCCGATCCAGTTAGTCGCCTCTTACTACAAGCATAGTCGCCTTTAACGGCAAGCATGGGTTGCTGAAAACCTATTCTAACCCGGAATCTTCACGGATCCGACCCCATGTGGAGTAACCCCTGTCATTATGATCTGCTCTGGGTCTGGTTAACATGAGCACAACTTTGCATTCAATACTCGGATCAGCTGACGATTTTTGCCGTTAAACTGGATCGTTATAATGTATAAAAATGACCAACTTGACTAACTTCTTGCAAATCTACGATTAGGTTATTTTGTATATCCTGCATATTCAATAATTATTTCATACATAATGACCACAATTAATTTAACCAATTTTAGTAAATAACAAACACAGAAAATATATGATCAATTTGTTCTTTTTCAACCATGAAAACTGTGCAGCTGATTAAATAACAGAATAAGTTTGTTGAACATATTTGTTGCAAATGTAAAATGTGTTCTAAGGTCGGTCTATTTCTTTCTATTTCGCCAAATATCTATGTCATGTGAGGGTAAGGCGAGCTGTTAATATTACAGAAAGTACAAACAATGAGATAATATATTTCTAGCCCTGAGTATAGTCTGGAAGGTAATTTAAGGTACCGACGTTTACTACAATATCTGAAAAATTATCGGACCTACTCCATCGGACGGGAATCACGCACGCAAGAATACGGTGTGAGCGTTGGGCGGCTCAACGTGCGTGATTCCCGTGCACCCTTTCGAGTTGAGTTGATTGGTTCAACTGTGTCATATGGCCCTGTGACGCAGGGGTAGCATTATGCAGATGGCTGTTTCAATGAATGCTCGTTCCGCCCGTGACGATCAGGTCTGGTTGTTGATGAAATATAGTGATAGCTAAATAGACAGATTTTTTATTCATTCACCGATTGTCTTTAAATGTAATATCCAGTTATGTATGACTGTTTAATAATCTCATACCAACTTTGACTGGAGTAGGTCCGATAGTTTTTCAGATATTGTAGTAAACGTCGGTCCTTAAATTACTTTCCAGACCATACATAATGCATAACTACGCTGTCATATTCCATCCCGCCGCTCCCAAATGTAATCATTAATCATTTTACAAGTGAAATAATTGTTTGATTATTTTACTGATTATATCCGGAACTGTGTTCCATACATACGTGTGCACAATTACATGTAACCGACTTCGTGCTCTATGGATACAAGGGACTGTCAATGAATACACTGAATCAGGAAAGGCCATCCCGCTCACGTGTTTGCAGTATCATAAGATGCGGAGAGGCTGCTCAGCCTATCAGAGACAAGCGCGTGTAGGTAAATAATTCCCCGCTTCCTGGTTTATAAAGGTGTAAGCTGTGTGGTAAGTCATGTAACTTGGAGAGGGTATAACGAAAGGTACAGTATCATTTTGCTCTCGTTTGAAAGTGAGTTGAGGGGCGCTGAGGTAGCTTAGTCGTTAAAGCGTTTGCTCTTCACGCCGAATGCCCGGGTTCGAATTTACACATGTGTGAAGCCATTTTTAGTGTCCTGCGCGTGATATGGGTGGAATATTGCCAAAAAGCGGCGTAACCTCCAACTCACAGACTTACTAATTGTAGTGAGTTGGGATGTAACATCGCATTTAACAATGCTATGGATTATCACATCGCGAAAACAAGCGAAAGTCATAGACATGAACAACTTGAGTGAAACCCAGTAAATTGAAAATATGTCTGGAAAATCGGTTATTCTTACCCAAGACCATATCTCCTGGCAACTAAGGCACGCACTGGGCTGGACAAGACAATCCAGTGATTGATTGATATCATGAGCATCGATCCACGCAGTTGGGATCCGATGACATGCAATTAACCATGTCAGCGAGCCTGACCACTCGATCCCGTTAGTTGCCTCTTATAACAAGCATAGTCGGCTTTTACGGCAAGAATGAGTTGCTGAAGTCCTATTTTACCCCGGATCTTCTCGGGTCACTTGCAAATGAAACAGAATTATGAAACATAATAACGTAGTGTGTCCTACGAAGTTGCTTTGACGAAGAAACAAATCGAAACTTACGGTACGTGTGTCAAGAGTTTGGTTTTGGTTAATCAATGTCAATTTCGTACATTTATAAATGGTTCTTTCTTGAACAGTGTGCATATAATAAGTTCTCAAAGTGAGATATATATGTTCTTTTTAGAGAAAAACTGCATTGTATACTGAACGAGAGACATATGTGACATTGTAGAGCATCGAAACACGTAATTAGCTTTCAATCACGAAACACATGACGTGTATTGTGTTCACAACGAGAGATATATGTTACATTGTAGAGCATCGAAACACGTAATTAGCTTTCAATCACGAAACACATGACGTGTATTGCGTTCACAACGAGAGATATATATTACATTGTAGAGCATCGAAACACGTAATTAGCTTTCATTCACGAAACACATGACGTGTATTGTGTTCACAACGAGAGATATATGTTACATTGTAGAGCATCGAAACACGTAATTAGCTTTCAATCACGAAACACATGACGTGTATTGTTTTTACAACGAGAGATATATGTTACATTGTAGAGCATCGAAACACGTAATTAGCTTTCATTCACGAAACACATGACGTGTATTGCGTTCACAACGAGAGATATATGTTACATTGTAGAGCATCGAAACAAGTAATTAGCTTTCATTCACGAAACACATGACGTGTATTGCGTTCACAACGAGAGATATATGTTACATTGTAGAGCATCGAAACACGTAATTAGCTTTCATTCACGAAACACATGACGTGTATTGCGTTCACAACGAGAGATATATGTTACATTGTAGAGCATCGAAACACGTAATTAGCTTTCAATCACGAAACACATGACGTGTATTGCGTTCACAACGAGAGATATATGTGACATTGTAGAGCATCGAAACACGTAATTAGCTTTCAATCACGAAACACATGACGTGTATTGTGTTCACAACGAGAGATATATATTACATTGTAGAGCATGGAAACACGTAATTAGCTTCCATTCACGAAACACATGACGTGTATTGTTTTTACAACGAGAGATATATGTTACATTGTAGAGCATCGAAACACGTAATTAGCTTTCAATCACGAAACACATGACGTGTATTGTGTTCACAACGAGAGATATATGTTACATCGTGGAAGATGTAACTGTTTTTCAATCAGGAAACGCACGACATGTCTTGTGCTCTCAATTAGAGGTATATGTTTGTTTCGTTAAAGAACCGTGTGTGTTTATTATTGATAATTTTTATCAATTCCGTTCCGCTGTGATCCTCGTGTATGCACCGAATTCTCCAAACTAAACTCATACTCTATGTAATACAGTTTGTCAAGGACTGATTCCACGACAAAAGATGAGTGTCTAGACCTTATGGATGGCTGCATCCAGTCCCGAGTCACTATGTATATATATATATGATTATAAGCCATTGTCAGGTATGTATTCTCGAAGTATTTCTCTCCAGACATGCAGCCAAGGTTCCTACTCCTCGTTGTGGTCGCCATGACCATGGGACAGACAGCAGCAGCCACAACAACTGCTGCGGAGACGGCTATCGCTGAAACACAGAAAGACCAGCAGTATCTCGAGTCTGGTAAGTTAACACACACCGCCATACAGTATATGTACGCCCACCCTAAAGGATAATAGTTACCATAACAACCAGATAATAACCCGAGTAGATTATTATTAGATACAATGTGAATACAGGCGAATAATCAATGCTATTTTTCAATCATATTTCTCACAGGAGCATGTCTCTGTTTAAAGCATTTTATTTGTTAACGGTCTACACTAATATAAGTCTTTGAAAGGCTTTGAGAAGTGATACACATAAGGAAGAGAATTTATTGATGTCAACTTCTTTATCATGAGGAACACAACGTTTCGGAGTATATGCTTACTCCTTTATCAGGAGGAACACAGCGTTTCGGAGTATATGCTTACTCCTTTATCAGGAGGAACACAGCGTTTCGGAGTATATGCTTACTCCTTTATCAGGCGAATGATGAAGGAGTAAGCATATACATGTACTTCGAAACGTTGTGTTCCTCATAATAAAGAAGTTGACATCCGTCAACTCTCTTCCTTACATTAACATTGTCAAAACCAATAATCTTTGATGTCTTACAAAAGAGTCAATATTCATAAAATCTTCAGGTAGAATTTCCTACTGTAGTCTTAATAGTCTTAGTCTCCGTGGTCTAGTGGTAAAGCGTCTGCCCGGAGAACGGTAGGTCGGGGGTTTCGAACGCCCACCGCGTCATATCAAAAGACGTTAAAATATGGTACTTGTTGTTACCATGCCTGCCTGGCGACTGGTCGGCTCGGAGTCAGTATACTATGTCTAAGTGGAGTATTAATGTTAAAACTGCGGAATGGTATCTCAGTGCGCTAGCAATGACATTAGTCAGGACTGGTACGAGCAGCCACACACGTACACACACACATGCACGTCGCTATAAGCGCAAAGATCTTGCCCTATCTCAGTAGTGGGTTAGCACTATAAACTCGGCGTTAGTCCGGACGAGTACAAGCAACACACACACACACACACACGCACGCACGCACGCACGCACGCACGCACGCGCGCACGCACACACACACACACACACACACATGGATCCCCAGAATCTGTTTGGTCCCCCCTTCGGGATAAAGCTGTCTGAAAGATATGTTTAAATAATAACCCCGGTAGAAGGTTCTGTATATAAGTATACAATAGTACAACGTGTTTTATAGCACACATATAATCTTTCCGCGATTCGCTTGGCTGGCGGGAACGCAAATGTGAATGTAACCCTTTAAAAACTTCAAAAACGACCAGGAAGTGCTTTGTTTGAGATGTTTCGCCAGGACTTCGCACCAGCGCACTTACTTCCATATAACCGTGAAGATTCGGGTTAGAATTGGTCTTCAGCAACCAATGCTTCTCGTAAGAGGCGAATAACGAGATTGGTTGGTCAGGCTCGTCAGGTTGATGCATGTTATCGTATTCCAATTGAGTGGATCGATGCTCATGATATCAATCACAGGATTGTCTGGTCCAGATTCGATTATTTACAGACCGCTGATATATAGCTTGAATATTTCTGAGTGCGGCGTTAAACAAAAAACCAAATCAACAATCAAATTTGTGACATCTAAAACAATGCCTACAAGACGAGTATTATTGGCGATATCATCCCTTATGGTGAACAGTCAATCACTTAACACACACGGTTCACATGGTTCATTTTATTTGGATTTGATTTTATAGCAATCTATATTTCTTGTTTTTTCGCAGACATCCTAGCTTCGGAAAATTATTCATATTCAAGAACAATATTATCGCGTACATCCGGAGAATACTCTTGAGAGCTTGGGTGCAGATATGTTTTTAGGGAAAGTCTACATTGTATAGATTATTTGAAATGCCTCGTTAGCCTGTAGCCTGTAGCTTGTATCTTGTAGATCGACTTCAAGTCTTTATGTAATGTACATTTAGTCAACGTGTACCTGGTGCGTGGTGAAACCGATTGTACTCTTTGATGAAGTTTTCGGTATTTTTAGTTATTCGGTTATATAAGGGAGTTTCACCTTAATGTGTCATGAAATGTCAAGATGACACAGGTCGTAGACCTTACCACAATGTTGAAAGCCACCATCCCACGTGTAATGACAAAACAAGGTTCAACCCAAGCATGTATACAACTCTCCCCACGTATATATGTTACTGATAAAAGTGGTTCTAATTTTAAAGGATAGGTTTCTGCAGTCCTGGAGAAGTGATATTAAATATTCTTCTAAAGGTTTCTATAATTCCTTATTGGCGACGAGTTCCATTACTTTAAACAGACGTAAAGCACTGGCGAATGAACGTTATTCATTTTTCAGTGCTTATTATTATTAATGGCCTAACATGTCAAAACATAAGAAGCTTATTGGGAATAATACGATACATGTCCTGAAAAACTTGTCACGATTTCTGAAACATGTACATGCTATCTTGTTGTAGTTTGTATATATTTATGTGTAAAATATAACTCATATACCACCGTCGGTGGTTCCTTTGAGGAAGCAAGAGTATGACGTTTAACATAAGCAGTGTCCACGTTGTAGGTGTTGACCGGCTCGGTGGGATGTCCACGTCGGAACAACATGCGGTGTTCACGTCAACAAAGCCAAAAGCAATAACGCTTGGTAAGATATACAGGGAGAAACTTCTCGCGAAAATTTCCCTGAACGCACGGCCTGCGTCAGCCACAGCAAAGTAAGTATTTTTACCGATAATAAATCATCTTAACTTAGACAAGGACTCAAACTTGAATGAGTCATAATTGCTGGAGCGTTTTGCAACCGGGAAGTACATTCTCAAAGCTGGTTTGCTCGACTGGGAAAATCTACTCACTTTTGTAACATGCTGCATCCGACCTGTGTAAAAGTACAAGCCCCTTGTTGTGAAGTGAGCGACGAAACGTCATTTGTGTATAAAGGGTTCAAAGAAGTACATTTTATTATTGTGTGACTTGATAGCTAAGAAAGCCCCCTAGTGTTTCAATTATATGTTTATTTTCTCGAAATTTCGAGTTTTTTTCTTATTATTTCGATTATATTTTCGTAATTTCAGTTATTTTCTCGTTACTTCGAGTTTTTGTTTCGTAAATAAGATAATTTTATTTTCTCGTTATTTCATGTTTATTTACAAAACTCGCAATTTCGACTTTTTTCTCGTTGCTTCAATGATTTAATCGTTATATGAATTATTTTCCCGTTACTTCGATTACTTGCTTATGATTTCGATTATTGTCTCGTTATTTCAAGTTTATTTCAAAGCTCGAAATTTCGAGAAAATAATTGATATAACCAGGAGAAAATCGAAAATTCGAGTTTTTGAGTTAAACTTGAAATGACAAAATAATTTAACGAGAATTAACTCGACGTAACGAGGAAGAACTCCAAATTTCGAGAAATAAATTTAAATAACAAAGAATTTCGATTTGAAAAAATAAATTAATCCTACCAAAATGCCACAATTACGCTTTCGTAGATAGCTGCAGACTTAATGACCCTCAAACATCCTTCAAGGGTTGCATCGCATGATAAACTGGAGAGGAGGGTTTGTCTCAGTATAGCCTGTGTGTAGCGTATAGACTTGGAGCAAATATAATGGCTATCTACTCTATTGAAACTTCGGAAACTGTTTAATTCTTTGTACCGTACACAGCAGTCGTAATTAACATCTCGTTTTTATTTTGAACAACAAGTAAAAGCGCTATCGCGTCTCTAGATATCCTGGTACACCAGTTAATTGTCTGGTTTGTTCACGGACCGCCGCCGCATGGCAGGAGTACTGCAGTGCGGCGTCAGGCAACTCACACTCACATTTTCATGCAAATTGTTTGAGTGACGGGTGCTACCTGTAGAGCAGGATATGTTTCCGCGAACATCTGGTGTCATCAATGGTTTTCAGTTATTCATATAATTTTCACTGCTATTTCGCCTTTTACGCCCAATGGAATCTGTTTCGTCGGATAATCGAGAATGTTTTTTCTCTGGCGTTGACGTCATATAAACTGACGTCCAAAAGAAACTTTACCAGAGTTTGAAATCACTCTTGCTCAAAAACAACAAAACATACATGCATGAAGTAAAGTGTATTAAGAAGATCAATATATCAACATAATCAACACTGAAAATGACAATCATACCGCGACCGAGAATGACGTCAGAGCCCCCCAAAGTTGTGTGTGGTACAAAACTCGAGCTTTCAGAATCACGGACAATAGGCAGAGTACATAAACAATCGCTCACGTTCAATAACAAGTCATTTATATAATTAGTAGATGGGGGACCACCAAATGCCTTAATACACGCAAAAACTCTTCGATGCACAGAAAAAGTCAGTCCTCTGATGAGGTCACGTGGGATTTGACGCCATTCTTCTTGGAGGGCCAAGATCAGTTCTTGCCGGTTGGCTGGAGAGTGTGGTCGTTGTCGAACACGACGATCCATCAAGTCCCAGAGGTGTTCTATGGGGGACAAATCGGGTGAGCGTGCAGGTCACGGCAGGGCGTTGACGTTGTTGGCTGCGAGGAAGTTTGTGACAATTCTGGCTGTATGGGCTCTAGCGTTGTCATGCTGATAAATGACACCACGTGGCTGCTGTTGGAGAAATGGTAGGACAACTGGACGAAGAATGTTATCCATGTAACGCTGAGCTGTCAAGTTTCCGTCAACGATGACCAGCGGTGTCCTCTCCTGCCCACAGATACCTCCCCACACCATGACACTCCCTCCAACATATGGTACGACCTCCTGCACGCAACACGCCGCCGTTCGTTCACCCCTCCGGTGGTAAACACGTTGTCTTCCATCAGCCCTCAACATACAGAATCGACTTTCGTCAGTGAAGACGACCCTCTGCCAGTCACGTGGTTGCCAACGTCGTACAGTCCGGGCCCATCTCAATCAAAGACGACGATGTTGCGCTGTCAATAGCTGTCCTCTGTATGGTCTAAAAGCCCTGATTCCATGAGCCCTGAGTCTCCTGGCCACTGTCTGTCGACTAACCCTGTGACCTAAGGCATTTGTCGCCGATGACGTCACTGTCAGGAAGCGATTTCGGAGGTGCAAGGTACGCAAGTACCGGTCATCATGGGGCGTGGTCACCCTGGGTCTGCCTGTTCTTGGCCTGTCAGAGGTCCGCCCTGTCTGTCTGTAACGTTGCATCAAGTTGGTAACGGCAACACGGGAGCAACCGAAGGTTCGTGCAATATGGGCGTGGGTGGCTCCCATCTGTACCATACCCAAGGCTCGTTCACGTTGTTCGACTGTGAGTCGTGGCATTTCTTTTGTGTGTTTTTTTTATCACTTCGGATGTCTGACTTGCCGTTGCAATCGTTTTATACCCTTATCCGCACGTGCATTTGCAGTTGTCCGTGGTGCACGTGTTTTTCACTTTTTCGCGTGTTATCTCGCAAACATGTAACAGACGATTAACATTTTCTGCATACACTAATGTTGTATTTAGGTTATGTGTTTTAGATAGACTTCATCGAAAACAAATTATACTTTGTCTGAAATTTATATTTTCAGTTGGTAAAGTTTCTTTTGGACGTCAGTTTATTTACGGTGCAGGTATCATTATACACTTTCATCATTCATTAGGGCCTAGCATTGTATTCTTCAAAAATAATATGATTAATTTAACTGTGACCAGCAACTGTACGCGTATGTTGACAACATTAAAAGCTCACGCCTCTGTGAACGTCTGTCGATCATGGATGATGCTAAACGCCACTGCAATTGCGTGATGCTCACTTCTCAAGAAACCTGAGGGCATATTCCCTTGAACACCGAATTTAACTTTCCTCAAATTTGATCAGGTCACTGTTCCGTTATTGTCTTATGCTACGAATCGTGCGCCTCTATACATATTCGTGTATATGTGCATACGTGCGTAGAAATGCATACGTGAGTATACTTGTCATGTGAACGCGTTTACTCATGTGTGTATATTTACACAAGGAGTAAATTTGCATCGTGTCTTGAGCAGGTGCAAATGTAAATGTAAATTTGCACTGTGTGTATATGTTTCAATGTGAACGTTTATGTCAACGTAAGAGGATGATCTAATTAATATCTGTTCTTTGCCAACATCAAACAAATTGTCAACGGTTGCCAACTTTTATGCGCATATATAGAGTTGAGCGGACGGTGTTTTCCTTTGGTTTCAAGGAGTCCATACTTTGTGTACAAATTAAATCAAACACATGATGCTTCACGGTGAAGTAACTCTCTTCTCAATCAACTTTGACTGGAAAACACCCTGTTTTGTGTTGAAAGTCGTGAACCGACTGACGAACATGTGTGCCTTACACAATTTACATAGTTTTTTGTTATTACTTTATTTACACACCTAAGAGTGAGTGAGTGAGTATGGTTTTACGCCGCTTTTAGCAATATTCCAGCAATATCACGGCGGGGGACACCAGAAATGGGCTTCACACATTGTACCCATGTCGGGAATCGAACCCGGGTCTTCGGCGTGACGAGCGAACGCTTTAACCACTAGGCTACCCGACCGCCCCTACACACCTAAGATGCTACTCATGTAAACGCATAGTAAATTTACATATACGCACGTATGTATAGTTACACATATGTAAAATTACTTACGCTAGTAAATGTTGTGCACGTGAACGGGGTATTAGTATACGCTCACACGAACATGAACTGTGGTGTGTAAACAGAGTACGTACATGGGGTGAGGACCACATATTCATCATTCCGAAAAGGCTGTTTTTCGACCAAAGAATGAGAAGAGAGCTACCTTCGCATGATTTCAGCATGTGTTGGAGTTAATCTCTAACTTTTTGACGCCTTGAAACCCAAAGAAAACACTGTCCGTCCTGCTCTGGGTGTCCACATTGAAGTTGGTATTGATATTTACTGAATAGCGTCAACTTCAGAATACAGAATGGTAACGGCAAATCATCCGCGATATTAATTCGATCGTCCTCTGGCGTTGGCATAAACCTTTACATATAGTGCAAATTGTGAAAATATACATTTACACCTGCTCCATACACGGTGCAAATTTGCTTATGCTGTAAATATACACACATCACTGAACGCGTATATGCAAATATACACAATGTGTAGAATGGGTGAGTGAGTGGGTGAGTTGGGTTAAACGCCGCTTTTACCAGTGTTCCAGTTATATCGCGGCGTGTCAGCTTAATGTGGGAGGAAAACCAAGTGATGCAGGTCTCAGACGTTTATCACTTCGGTGAAACCCACCAGCACGGATATGGTACTGGCAAACCTAGAAACATAATCGGGGCGAACCGGGATTCAAACCCACAGTCATAGGTTTCTGGCGTACCCAAGGGACGCAACTCTGCACAGCGAATGGCGGCGCCTCAGACGACTGGGCCACCCCAGCCCCCACACGTGTTTAGAGATTCATGTGAGCTGGGTATTGTTAGTTTCTTTTCTGTTGCAAGATTGTTAATATGTAAGTAATGTCAATCAACGTTGTCAGTGACAGCTGCAGCAGCTCCATGGTGTGTAACAAGACCGACATATTCCGGTCAGCGGACGGCAACTGCAACAACATCCAGCATCCTGACTGGGGAAAGAGCTTCATCCCAATGAGGAGGTTCCTTCTGCCACAGTATGACGATAGTGAGTTCTATGCATGGTTTAATTCGCTTGTTATCTGTGTGTTGTGTGTGTGTGTAATGTGTGAGAACCTTTAATGGAGGCTTTTTAAGTACAATTTCAGCGTCCAAGAAGGGACCAAGAAGTATCTTTTCACCATTACAATATTATATCGATATAACGATATCGGAAGGCGATTCTAGTACCTTCTCGAACATAATGGACGTGCACTGTCATTCAAAGAGCTTCTCTTTTAACGTCTGGAGACGTGTCTCCATTTTTTGCTAATATTAAACCGTAGAGTTGATCAGGGGAAGACTATAAAAAACAGAGTCCCACCTCGTTGCCAGAATATTAAAGTACGGGAGTCAACAAGTCAACAGATAAATACATGACACTTTTTATGGATAGCAGTTTCTTTTATTCTGTGTCACAACGTTTCAGAGCTACTTCTTGCTCCTTCATCAGGTGACAAAGAATATAAGAAGTCGCTATCCACAAAAAGTGTCACGTATGCATGTTCTTCCAACTTGTCAATGCCTGTCAAAGACTACACGGGGGGAGTTCGCTACCTCTCCCAGGCATCACTTCACGAACTGCTGGGAATAGGTCTTCAGCAACCCAGGCTTGCCGTAAAAAGCTACAATGCTTGTCGTAAGAGGCGACTAACGGGATCGGGTGGTCAGGCTCGCTGACTTGGATGATGCTTGTCATCGTATCCCAATTGCGTGGATCGATGCTCATGATGTCAATCACTGGGTTATCTGATCCAGACTCGATTTTTTCAGACCGCCGTCGTATCACTTGAATATTGTTGAGTACGGCGTTAAACAACAACAACAACAACAAAACATAAAAACAGAAAATCTGTAAATGAACTTCACATATGACTAAGGACACGGGTGGCCAAATCATCTAAGGAGCCGCAATTCCCTATGCAGAGTTGCGTCCCTTGGGCACGCCAGGAACCTATGATTGTGGTTTCGAATCCCGGTTCGCCCCAAGTATGTTTCTAGGTGGATTTCATGGAAGTGGTAAACGTTTGATACCTGCATCTCTTTGGGATGTCTTCTAACATTAAGCTGACACGTCGTAAAATAACTGTATACTGTTCAAAGCGGTGTCATATCCAACTCACCCACTCACATGTGACTGCAGATATATCATCGCCGCGAACCACTGGAAGTGATGGGACCTCGCTTGTAAGCCCTCGTCTAGTAAGCACCAATTTGCACACACCTGACGTCGACGCCACGTCACAGAGTGACGTCACACACATGGTCATGCAGTGGGGTCAGTTCCTGGATCATGACATCACCAATACCCCTATTGAACGAGGTCAGTTGAAATTGTAACTACAGTAAACTACGTTTATAACGAACACGCTTATTGACCGATATAACGAACTTATCCTTAATCCTGGCCATTTGTTGCATATATGATGTTTATAACGAACCACGGTTATTACAAACTAAAAGTAGTGGTCCCTTTGAGTTCGTTATAACCGTAGTTTACTGTATTAGTTAGTGAAACGTTCGCCAGGATATCTTCCGGTAAGGGATTGTAAGGGAATGTACTCGAGAGTTCCTTCCATAGTATCAATTTTAATTTTTTTTCCAGCCACCATTTTTTACCGCCTCGCTAAAGTTACAAGGGTTTGGGGACTTGCTACATGCACCCCACATATTTCTCTACCAAATGACTTCAATTTGCTTTTGAGTTTATTGAATTGGAAACGTCAAAACAGATGTGCAGCCTTTGTGTAAAGTACGCAGATTTACAATTTAAAGCAAAAGTGTGAGTTTCAATTATAATATATCGTACAATTGGAATGTGAGTACATGCTGTCTTCATAATTTTATGAATCAAATACCTAATAGTGAGCTCTTGTGATACTGCAGGCACGGACGGAGCCGCCATAACGTGTTGTGAGGATGACGTCAAACGTGAGACCCTCTCCGCCGCCTTGAATCTCACTGCCAGGTAGCTGTAGCCTTGAATCTCACTGACAGGTTTCTGTAGCCTTGAATCTCACTGACAGGTTGCTGTAGCCTTGAATCTCACTGACAGGTAGCTGTAGCCTTGAATCTCACTGACAGGTAGCTGTAGCCTTGAATCTCACTGACAGGTAGCCTTGAATCTCACTGACAGGTACCTGTAGCCTTGACTCTCGCTGACTGGTAGCTGTAGCCTTGAATCTCACTGACAGGTAGCCGTAGCCTTGAATCTCACTGACGGGTAGCTGTAGCCTTGAATCTCACTGACAGGTAGCCGTAGCCTTGAATCTTACTGACAGGTAGCCGTAGCCTTGAATCTCACTGACGGGTAGCTGTAGCCTTGAATCTCACTGACAGGTAGCCTTGAATCTCACTGACAGGTAGCCGTAGCCTTGAATCTTACTGACAGGTACCTGTAGCCTTGAATCTTACTGATAGGTAGCTGTAGCCTTGAATCTCACTGACGGGTAGCCGTAGCCTTGAATCTCACTGACAGGTAGCCTTGAATCTCACTGACGGGTAGCCGTAGCCTTGAATCTCACTGACGGGTAGCTGTAGCCTTGAATCTCACTGACGGGTAGCCGTAGCCTTGAATCTCACTGACGGGTAGCTGTAGCCTTGAATCTCACTGACAGGTAGCTGTAGCCTTGAATCTCACTGACAGGTAGCCTTGAATCTTACAGACAGGTACCTGTAGCCTTGACTCTCACTGACAGGTAGCCGTAGCCTTGAATCTCACTGACAGGTAGCCGTAGCCTTGAATCTCACTGACGGGTAGCCGTAGCCTTGAATCTCACTGACAGGTAGCTGTAGCCTTGAATCTCACTGACAGGTAGCCGTAGCTTTGAATCTCACTGACAGGTAGCCGTAGCCTTGTATCTTACTGACAGGTAGCCGTAGCCTTGAATCTCACTGACAGGTAGCCGTAGCCTTGAATCTCACTGACAGGTAGCCGTAGCCTTGAATCTCACTGACGGGTAGCTGTAGCCTTGAATCTCACTGACGGGTAGCCTTGAATCTCAATGACAGGTAGCCGTAGCCTTGAATCTTACTGACAGGTACCTGTAGCCTTGAATCTCACTGACAGGTAGCCGTAGCCTTGAATCTCACTGACAGGTAGCCGTAGCCTTGAATCTCACTGACGGGTAGCCGTAGCCTTGAATCTCACTGACAGGTAGCCGTAGCCTTGAATCTTACTGACAGGTAGCCGTAGCCTTGAATCTCACTGACGGGTAGCCGTAGCCTTGAATCTCACTGACAGGTAGCCGTAGCCTTGAATCTCACTGACAGGTAGCCGTAGCCTTGAATCTCACTGACGGGTAGCCGTAGCCTTGAATCTCACTGACAGGTAGCCGTAGCCTTGTATCTTACTGACAGGTAGCCGTAGCCTTGAATCTCACTGACGGGTAGCCGTAGCCTTGAATCTCACTGACAGGTAGCCGTAGCCTTGAATCTTACTGACAGGTAGCCGTAGCCTTGAATCTCACTGACGGGTAGCCGTAGCCTTGAATCTCACTGACGGGTAGCCGTAGCCTTGAATCTCACTGACAGGTAGCCGTAGCCTTGAATCTTACTGACAGGTAGCCGTAGCCTTGAATCTCACTGACGGGTAGCCGTAGCCTTGAATCTCATTGACAGGTAGCCGTAGCCTTGAATCTCACTGACGGGTAGCCGTAGCCTTGAATCTCACTGACGGGTAGCCGTAGCCTTGAATCTCACTGACAGGTCCCTGTAGCCAGAGGGAAAATATAACGCAGGACAGAACACACTACTTCCAAGAAAATGTTTCCGTGGATCTGAATAGGAGATATTTGCACGTAGAAAAGATTCAACTTTCACTTAAAAAACATTTTAAGTAAGAATGGAAACCATTTGCCAAATACAGTCAGTTCACTTGTACAGTTAAATATGTAGGATCTATTTGCATGGTGGTATTATATGTGCCACATTGCATATTTCCTTTCAGAAATGGACAAATCAATTTTCAAACCAAGAAGTGCTGTCAGATTATTATGCGCTTTCCTGCTATGGCGAGGACTTACTCACGTCGTATGTCAGGAGTAGGTTATATTTGTCTCTGGGGACGTGCTATAGTACGATGTACAACGATATAGGAGGTATGTCCAGAGAATCCACACACGGTTCTTTGTCCAACCATGCAGAAATGTGAGAAATGTGAACCCAATAATCCAATTCCCCTTTTTATCTGCCAGACATCAGTGCTTCAACATTGCCGTGCCACCAGGGGATCGAAGGTTCAACCGCACATGTCTCAACTTTGTCCGATCAGTGCAAGTGGCCAACACAAACTGTGGCATTAGTGAGTACAAAATCGGAGATTCATTGTTGGTGGGCGCTACGTTCAGAGTGTCATGGTGCTACGTTCAGAGTGTCATGGCGCTACGTTCAGAGTGTCATGGGTGGTGGATGTTACGTTCACGGCGTCATAGGCAGGTGGGTGTGTAATATGTTCAGCGTGACATGGGTGGTGGCAGCGTAATATGTTCAGCGTGACATGGGGGTGGGAGTGTAATGCGTTCAGCGTGACATGGGGGGTGGGAGTGTAATAGGTTCAGCGTGACATGGGTGGTGTCAGCGTAATATGTTCAGCGTGACATGGGGATGGGAGTGTAATGCGTTCAGCGTGACATGGGGGGTAGGAGTGTAATAGGTCCAGCGTGACATTGGGGGGTGGGAGTGTAATATGTTCAGCGTGATATGGGGGTGGGGGGTGGTAGTGTAATAGGTTCAGCGTGAGATGGGCGGTGGCAGCGTAATATGTTCAGCGTGAGATGGGTGGTGGCAGTGTTAAATGTTCAGCGTGACATGGGTGGTTAGAGTGTAATATGTTCAGTGTGACATGGATGGTGGGAGCGTAATCCGTTCAATTTGACATGGGTGGTGGGAGTGCAAGCGTTCAGCGTGACATGGGTGGTGGGAGTGTAATCCGTTCAGCGTGACATGAATGGTCGGAGTATAATCCGTTCAGTGTGACATGGGTGGTGGGAGTGTTATCCGTTCAGTGTGACATGGGTGGTGGGAGCGCAATGCGTTCAGCGTGACATGGGTGGTGGGAGTGTAATCCGTTCAGCGTTACATGGGTGGTGGGAGTGTAATCCGTCCAACGTGACATGGGTGGTGGGAGTGTAATCCGTTCAGCGTGACATGGATGGTCGGAGTATAATCCGTTCAGTGTGACATGGGTGGTGGGAGTGTAATCCGTTCAGTGTGACATGGGTGGTGGGAGCGCAATGCGTTCAGCGTGACATGGGTGGTGGAAGCGTAATCCGTTTAGCGTGACATGGGTGGTGGGAGCGCAATGCGTCCAGCGTGACATGGGTGGTGGAAGCGTAATCCGTTTAGCGTGACATAGGTGGTGGGAGTGTAATCCGTCCAGCGTGACATGGGTGGTTAGAGCGTCATATGTTCAGTGTGACATGGGTGGTGGGAGTGTAATCCGTTCAGCGTGACATGGGTGGTTGGAGTGTAATATGTTCAGTGTGACATGGATGGTGGGAGCGTAATCCGTTCAGCGTGTCGGGAGTGTAATCCGTTCAGTGTGACATGGGTGGTGGGAGTGTAATCCGCTCAGCGTGACATGGGTGTCGGGAGTGTAATCCGTTCAGCGTGACATGGGTGTCGGGAGTGTAATCCGTTCAGTGTGACATGGGTGGTGGGAGTGTAATCCGTTCAGCGTGACATGGGTGTCGGGAGTGTAATCCGTTCAGTGTGACATGGGTGGTGGGAGTGTAATGCGTTCAGCGTGACATGGGTGGTGGGAGTGTAATCCGTTCAGCGTGACATGGGTGGTGGGAGAGTAATATGTTCAGAGTGACATAGATGGTGGGAGTGTAATATGTTCAGTGTGACATGGATGGTGGGAAAGTAATATGTTCAGTGTGACGTGGATGGTGGCAGCGTAATATGTTAAGCGTGACATTGGTGGTTCGAGAGTAATATGTTCAGTGTGACATGGGTGGTGGCAGCGTAATATGTTCAGCGTGACATGGTTGTTTGGAATGTAATATGTGTCAGCTTGACATGGGTGGTAGGAGTGTAATAAGTTCAGCGTGACATGGGTGGTTAAAGTGTGATACGAAATCCACGGGAACTAGTGAAATTTGTGCTTCTATTTCTACTTCTAATATGGGTTCCACCAAGATGATCTAGTTGTTCAGTAGGAGTTGGAACTTTCTTGATATCACCCAGGCGGCTGTGTATGCCCTTGATCAGACTCAACTTTGTCTTCTTCTTGTAGTTCCAGCAGAGCAGATGAACCAACTGACGGCTTACATTGATGCATCGCAGGTGTATGGCTCCACAGAAGAGGAACAACATGAACTCCGAGCTGACACCGGAGGTATGTCATACATCAGGCATTGGCTGTGTTTTCGCGAAGACCCATCTTCCCGAGGCAAGAGAGTTAACTGACTATAAAAGTCCAGTTTCCATCCTTGCCGAACTAGGCTGGTATTATGGAGTTACATTTTGGCTGGACTAACGAGTCTATGCTTGGTCCAATCAAAATCGCGCACCGAAATCGAAATCCGGTTCGTAAACTGTCGTGCAGATTTCGGTCGATTGAAGGATTTGCAAAGCATGTGCACCACCAACTCGTTCTCAGCAGATATTTTCCAAATCTTTTCATGTTTTTAATCAAGGTGCTCCCGTGATTTGATGAATTTCGCGATGTAAGACCCGTTTTATCACAAAATAGAACTTGATTATCGATCAGATCATCTTGACTGGGCGCCGCCATTTTGTGTGAAGCAAACGCAAGTGATACGTGGGGTGGAATCTGATTGGTCCATAGGAGAGGCTTAGAAGGGTCATAACTGGTAATAGCCACTGGTGGCGCTACGATCGAGCCCAGTAAGTCCAGCCAAGTTCGGCAAGGGTGGAAACTGGACTCTTTTTTTTTTTTTTGGGGGGGGGGGGGGGGGGGGGGGGGGGCGACGTTTTAGATTTGTTTGGTGACATAGCGGATCTGGTGGTCAGTCTCAGTGACTTGGTTGGTAGCGTGCCATCGTACTCCAAATGGTTGATCGTTGTTCACCATATCAATCACTAGGTTCTCTGGTCCAGACTCGATTATTTACAGACCGCCGTCATATAGCTGAAACGCGGCGTTAAACAACAAACAGACAAGCAAAATAAATTCACGACACACCAACTCTACCAGATTATTCTCTTTAAACGTTTAATCTAACAACATATTTCAAGTAGCAACCGACAGTGCGGTCTACAAGAAACTCAATAAGCACATCACTCATTATTAAGGTACATATATACTTCAGACTATATCTCAAAGATCAGATGTAATAGTTTCCGTTTAAATGTGGAGCTTCGAAGATATAGTTATATTCCTCAAAATGAACGATTCTGCGATTTCTGTTTTCTGATTTAAAAAATAACTGTAAATGTACTGAGGTGAGGTGAAATCGGGTTTAACGTCGCGTCCAAGATTATTGCACTTATACAGCGACGTGCATGCACGTGTGTGTGTTTGTGTGGCTTTTGGTAGTCCGGACTGATGCCGAGTTATAATGCTAGCACACTAAGATACCATGCCGCAGTTTAACATAAACACCCCACTCAGACACAGTATACTGCCCCTTATTGCCGAGCGCAAGGCAGGGTAACAACAAGTGTCATCTTTTAACGTCTTTTGATATGACGCCGCCGGGGATCGAACCCCGGACTTTTCGCTCCCCGGGCGGACGCTCTACCACTAGACCACGGAGGCGGTCCGTAAATGTATTGAAAGTGAATGCCGTGTTATGTCTATATGTGAATAACATGCCACTTTAAGAAGAATGCCCCTCTAGGCACCTCTTATGAAATTCACACAGATGGTTATCATGTCCTTCATACTATGGGTGTGTTCTTGGCAAAAGACAAATAAGAAACACCTAAATACCTATTTTTGTCACGAATGAAATCTTTATATTCTTTACACCAGCGTTCGCGATCTAGGATGCTATGTTAATGTATAAGGGACATGCTGCTGAAGTGCATGTCTATCTCTCTGTGAAGTGCATGGCATTGATTCTACTTTCATGCTTTCAGGACTGCTGAGAACATCATCTGACAATCCAGAACTGCTTCCAAGAAACTCTGCGACGGACTGTGTCACTTCCGCTAAACCCAACTTCTGTTTCAGGGCCGGTACGTAGCTCTCATTGTTTCATTTTGCTTATCATGCATCACACAGTGGTATTGCCATTGTGGCTCTTGAACATCTTTAGCTGCTGTCTGTGGTAAGCTGGCTAACCTGTACTATACCAATTACTGTTTCGGTGGAATGATCGAATGATTTGGTTCAACACCGCTTTTAACAATATTCCACTTATATCACGGCGTGTCAGCTTAATGTGAGAGGAAAGCCCGAAGTGATGCAGGTCTGAGATGTACACCGCCTTGGTGAAAACCACGAGCACGGGTATGGTGCAGACAAACCTAGTGACAAAGTCGGGGCGAACCGGGATTCGAACCCACAATCATAGGTTTCTGGCGTGCCCAAGGGACGCAACTCTGCACAGCGAAATACGGCACATTGGAAGACGTGACCACTTTTATTTTCTCTGGAGATATGTTTACGATGTGTTGATGTTGATTGTTGACGATTGATGTTGTCCTGCCAATACTACATGTCAGTATGACCTGCCTGATAGAGAGTCTCAATGACTCCGTCTACATTGGTGGATCATATTGAAAAATAATAGACTGTGAAAGACCAAACAAAGGCTTTAGTTGTTCATATAGCTTTCTCATTTTTGGTACCAGGTTACTTCTCTTTCATGAAAATCCTTTTTAGATACTTTTCTATAATGTTTCCAATATGGCCGCCAAATCCAAGATGGCCACCAAAATTATCCTTAATTTTGGACATTTGTAAGCATTAATCTTCTACTGTCTGTGTCAGGTGACGAGAGAGTGGACGAGCACATGTCTCTGGCAAGTATGCACACCATCTGGCTGCGGGAACACAACAGAGTGGCCAGAAAGCTTGCACGTATCAACCCACACTGGGATGATGAGCGGCTCTTCCAGGAAACCAGGAGGATTCTGGGAGCCATGATACAGCACATCTCCTACGCCGAATTCCTTCCCCTCGTCCTCTCACCCAAGTTTCTCATCAAGTTTGGTCTCCGACCATCGACTGGTCCTGTTAATATTTACAATGCCAGTATTGATGCCAGTGTTCGCAATGCCTTTGCTACAGCTGCCTACCGCTTCGGCCACTCCATGATAAGATCCTTCTTTAGTCGCCCAAACAAGAGATTTAGGGGTAAAAAAAATCTTCAACTTAGAGACTCATTTGGAAATACATCCATAATTCTTTCAACTGCTGGCGATGCTGTAAACGAACTAACAAGAGGGCTCCTGGTCGATAGGGCCAATTCTGTTGACAGACACATCTCCCCTGAGCTTACAGACTTCCTCTTCCCAGATGATGAAGGTAACAGTCTCGATCTGACGGCCTTAAACATTCAACGTGGCCGCGACCATGGCCTACCAGGGTACAATGCTTGGCGGAGGTGGTGTGGACTCCCAGAAGCTGAAAACTTCTCAACCAGCCCTGGAGGTCTTGTGGATCATCCTGATGATGCTGCAGCTGCTCTGCAATTGCTGTACAGGTACTGAGCATTAGTGAGAGAGTTATGCTTTAACGTCACATTTGCAGAACTGTAGCCGATGACATGACATGACGATGACATTGACCAGTAGGTGAGAAGAAATGAGGTTTAACGTCGCGTACGAAATTATTGCGCTAATACAGCGACGTGCATGCCCGTGTGTGTGCGTGTGTGCGCATGTGCGTGTGTGCGCTAGTCCGGAATAATGCCGATTTATAGTGCTTGCCCACTGAGATACCATGCCGCAGTTAAACATGAGTACCCCCCTCGGATACAGTAAACTGATTCCAATCCGACCAGTCCTTGTTTTAGCCCCTTAATGCCGAGCGCCAGGCAGGGTAACAACACGTACCATCATTTCTTTTGGTGTGACGCGGCCGGGGATCGAACCCCGGACCTTCAGCTCTCCGGTCGGACGTTCTACCACTAGACCACGGAGGCGGTCCAGGTACCAATTGATAGTGTACAGCAAAATCAAGGTTTTGAAATTGTATGCCCTTTTCAAGTCATATTTCAACTTAAGTTGTAAAGTGTAGTGGACACGTTTATGTATTTCAGATCACCCGACGACATTGATCTGTTCTCTGGAGGCATATCAGAACGTCCTGTTGCCGGCGGACTGTTGGGAAACACTTTCTCTTGTATTGTCGGCCGCCAATTCGAGCTGTTAAAGATCGGTGACAGATTCTGGTATGAGACCAATGACGAGTATGTCGGATTTACGCAAGGTATGCATATCTGTTGTTCCAGGTAATATTATATCTTACTGATGCAACTTAACCAGTAAATCCGTGTTGCTTCACGATGACTTGCAAATGAGGAAGAGAATACACGGATGTCAACTTCTTTATTATGAGGAACACAACGTTTCTTAGTATCTGCTTACTCCTTCATCAGGCGACAACGTTTCGGAGTATATGCTTACTCCTTCATCGGGTGACAACGTTTCGGAGTATATGCTTACTCCTTCATCGGGTGACAACGTTTCGGGGTATATGCTTACTCCTTCATCGGGTGACTACGTTTCGGGGTATATGCTTACTCCTTCATCAGGTGACAACGTTTCGGAGTATATGCTTACTCCTTCATCGGGTGACAACGTTTCGGGGTATATGCTTACTCCTTCATCGGGTGACAACGTTTCGGGGTATATGCTTACTCCTTCATCAGGTGACAACGTTTCGGGGTATATGCTTACTCCTTCATCAGGTGACAACGTTTCGGAGTATATGCTTACTCCTTCATCGGGTGACAACGTTTCGGAGTATATGCTTACTCCTTCATCGGGTGACAACGTTTCGGGGTATATGCTTACTCCTTCATCGGGTGACAACGTTTCGGGGTATATGCTTACTCCTTCATCAGGTGACAACGTTTCGGAGTATATGCTTACTCCTTCATCGGGTGACAACGTTTCGGGGTATATGCTTACTCCTTCATCGGGTGACAACGTTTCGGGGCATATGCTTACTCCTTCATCAGGTGACAACGTTTCGGAGTATATGCTTACTCCTTCATCGGGTGACAACGTTTCGGGGTATATGCTTACTCCTTCATCGGGTGACAACGTTTCGGGGTATATACTTACTCCTTCATCAGGTGAATCACTCCGAAACGTTGTATTCCTCATAATAAAGAAGTTGACTTCCATATATTCTCTTCCTTATGTGTATCACTTCTTAATGCCTTTCAAAGACATGTTGCAAATGATTTCCTCCATCAGATCAGCTGACTGAACTCCACTACACGTCTCTGTCCCGCGTGGTCTGCGACAACATCAAGACCAAGAATATCCAACCTAATGCCTTCAGAAACGCTGCACCAGGGTGAGTTCTCTACAAAATTCGGAGACATTCACCAATGAAATATAACATTCAGGCACAATCATTGGCAAAAACCATAAATGACGAGTATCTTTCATAGTTAATGAAGGTATAAGAAATATAATCATATACATGTATATGATGCAGGCTTTGTTAAGACTGTGTGATAATGGTAAGTGAGAGACGGGTTTACGCTGCTGTAACAATAGTTAGGCAGTATCATGTCTCAGACCAATGCGAAGCACTTAGGGTAACCATGTTGGTAATCGAACCCGGATTTCCGCGTGTCAGACGAACGCATTAACTACTAAGCTACCCACGCTCGTGATTATTATGGTGCCCCTAGGGTCCCAACTCAGATTTGGTCGTGACAAGCGACCGCATTAACCACTAGGCTATCCACAGGCGGGATTCACATATGGTATCTGCGTGGGGAATAGAACCCAGATTTAGGCGTGACAAGCGAACGCATTAACCACCAGGCTACCCACACGCGGGATTCCCATATGGTACCCATGTGGAGAATAGAACCCAGATTTAGAGGTGACAAGCGAACGCTTTAACCACTGTGCTACCCAACAACGCAGAATGTTTTCACCTATAAATAGTCATTATGGAAATGGTTTTGATGTTGATGATGAATGTTACAGGAACGACCTCACGTCATGCAGTCAACTGCCCAAGGTCAATCTGAGTGCCTGGCGTGAGACTCAGAAGGGTGTGTGGTCGGCCTGGTCAGCGTGGTCAGACTGTAAACGCGGACGGAGGAATCGGATCAGGACTTGTGTGCAGACAGGTCTGAAATGTACAGGGTCGAAGAAGGAGAAGGAGGCATGCGGTTCAGACTGTGCGTTTCAGCAGTGGGGATCATGGGGCAACTGTGTGAAGGGCTGCCGTTACAGGAGACGGGGGTGCGACTGCAGATCGTGCGGCCCCGCAAGCGACTTCGACACTGACAAATGCAAGAAAAAGGGGAAGAGTCGTAGCAAGCGTTTTTGTAGACGATTGTATGGGAACGTGAAACCATGGTACTTCGACACAACTGTGTCAAAATAAATACTGTTTGACATGATAGTCCTTTCTTGTGTTGCCGGCTCGAGTTTCATCAGTGGGGCAATGGGGTAGCCTAGTAGTCAAAGCGTTCGCTCGTCAAGCCGAAGGGGTTCCATTCCCCAAATGGGTACAATTTGTGAAGTCCATTTCTGGTGTTTACCGTCGCGTTATTGCTAGAATGTTGCTAAAAGCGGCGTAAGACCATACTCACTCACTCACTCACTCACTCACTCACTCACTCACTCACTCACTCACTCACTCACTCACTCACTCACATACAATGAAACTAAGAAACGTAGGAACTGTCCCCTTGTGAGTGATAGTATGAGGAACGTTCGCACAAAGGTCTTTCAAGTAATGTCTGAGGGATGTTCTGACGATCAAAAGAATAACTAACTACGTTTCTTCCCAGCTTTTAGAAAATCTGATAGAAGTACCTAAAAAGACCAAGGGATTTAGAAGCAGTTACTTGTCTTTACCTACAGATTTCGACTTTGAAACAAGCCATGAAGCGAACTATTATTCTACTATTGAAACTGAATTGCGTTCCTTTTATGTAGGCTTCTTTCATTAAACAGTGACAAGTTTTTCAACTAATTCATTTTTAGCGAAAATTAAGGTAACTGATTATGGTTATTGTACCTGTTGTGGTCACGTTACTGAAAAATGTGATCATTTATTTATAGATTGTATTGCTGTAAAGAAATCATGGAATCAAGTTAGTAAAGGACTAAATAGTAAATTAGCCAGGGCCCACTTGCAAAAAGCGATCTTATCGCTAAGGTGATCGTAACTCTCATGCTTTAACATAGGCTTACGATAGTCGTAACGCTAAGATCGCTTTGTGCAAGTGGGCCCAGAACTGTTGAAGTTACAATTAAGCATTTCATCTTTAGTGACACCACCTCCAAAATAACAACGTATGTATTCCTGTTAGTTAAATATTTTATCTTCACCAGTAGAATTAGAAAAAGCCTCCACGGGTTCCACGAATTTATTCAGTGATTACAGCAGAAATGTAAAGAGCAGAATTACATTGAATTGAAGTCGGGTCAACTCACAAAACATAATATCAAGTGGCAGAACCTAGCGTTCTGCAATTCTTTGTAAAAGTATTTAAAAAACACACACAAAAAAACACCTTACTGTCCACCCGGAGAGGCCTGGGGCTCGATCCCCAGACGCGTCATACCAAAAGACGTTAAAAGATGGTACTTGTTGTTACCCTGCCTGACTCGGCTTTAAGGGGCTAACGCTCAGTAGCATTAAATCTTATTCTCTTCTTTTTGGTATATGTGTTTTACACATTCCCGTTATGGCGTTAGTTGTTTTATTTTTTTCGAAACCCCTAAATTCATAAAGCTTTGTCACAAAAATGAAAGTGAGCCTCGGAGTTTAAGAATTCATTACGGGGCAAAATAATAGTGAAACATGTAAAAGTGGAACTAGTGAACGGAATATGCATTCATACGAGTATTATATTTTTCTTCTAAATGCGTCTGTGTTGATATAACATTCTGAATAACATTTTTTTTCTGTTTGTAATATTTTTCTGAAAAGCCTATGGTACTTATGGGTGATTGAAATTTGGCCATATGGGTAACTGAATAGAAAGTACATGCATGTCACATTTTGTCTTATAGTCTTTACGATTCTAGATATATTGTAAGTTGTTCAGTATAAGTTTTATTTAAACCCTGAAATGCATGACATTTATTAGAAAGGCTAACGGAGTAAACAGACGACTAACGGGAACGGGTGGTCAGGCTCGCTGACTTGGTTGATGCATATCACCGTATCCCAATTGCGTGGATCGATGCTCATGATGTCAAACGATGGGTTGTCTGGTCCAGACTCGATTATTTACAGACCACCGTCATATAGCTGGAATATTGCTGAGTGCGGCGTTAAACAACAAACAAACCAAACAGAACAAACAAGGGTTGAAACTGGACTTTTAAAGTCAGTTAACTCTCATGCCTTGGGAAGATGGCGGAATGTGGCTTGACCTAGTTTCGACCTGAATTGGCGACTCATTTATCGTGGAAAGACATGGTTTATCAAGACAAAAGAAATGTTTGGGGCGAGACACTTCCCCCAAATGTGTTGCAAAACGAACAGCAGATGAAATTCAAAATGAACATATCATTTTAAGTTTTAATAAAAGCAATGCGCTGAAGTGTGACTGTATTTTTGATTCATCGACCCCTTGGTTATCTGTTTTGTAACATGTCACTGTAGGAGAACTGCTGCAAAAATACTGACTTCATTATACAATTGTGTGAGTGACGGGTGCTACCGGTTGCTTAGTACAGGCTTAAACCTTTTTTCGAACACCTGGTGTCATCACCGACCTTCATTAATCCATTCCCACAATGTGTACGCTAGTTTGCCCTTTACGCACAATGCAATCTGGATTGGTTGTTATCTTGCGTTGTCGTTTCGTATTTCATGTTTTGTTGTACATTATTACATTGAACGTAACATCAATTATTATGTTAAAATATTTCTGAATTTATGAAAATCAGAATTTTGAAGAAAAAACAACAATGGCGAGCAAATAATTTGTTTCCCAATTTACCCCATTAGTTGGGAATGGTGGATATATGCCTCATTAAATGTACCGCATGTCGCTTGTACCTCATGAAATTAAAAACAAAATTCGATATTTATTTTGCGCTCAATTTACTTGTTATAGGGTCGTTAAACAACAAACAATCAAACAAACAACAAACTTATTCTGGGGAATCTTGTTTTGCAAACTATTTATGAAGCAGTGAGGATATTTTCAATGTGTGTGAACAACTCAATTTCTATTGTTTTTGTTACCTATGTTATATTACCTTAATACCCGAAGTACTAAACTGTTGAGACCATGACATGCAGATGGACGTTTGCCTGTCAGTGTAGCTTGGAAGTCTATTTGGAAGTTTATACATACACACACATGAACTAACTTGCATTTATTTCTGTTATCACGACTGACCACCTACTAGCTGACGCGCAGCGATAACGATAATCAAGTCAGTATATTTTAACCTCCTTAGTGTCTCCTCTTCCTTTGGGAGATCGATAGCATCCCCATTTGTGGTGGCGGTGTTCGGGTGTAGGGTTGTATGTTAAATTAAGGAGCAACTCGATCGATCTTTAGAAAGGAACCAGCTTCCATTTAAATATAAACTTAATTATGATATAATTTGTCCTGACTGTTGTCAAACGTCATCTCGAACGATATTGATGGAAGCGCCATTCAATCATCACTGTATGACCGCTGTGCACATCACGAGGTATTCTGATCCTCTTGTATGGTGACAATGTTACACGTCGTGGTTAACTCGATTCAAACATTCACAACACCGATAACTTAGTAAATGTGCTAAATCCTTCATTAAAAGCTTCGTCCTTAAATATGAAACATATTTAATAAAACTGGATTTACTGCAAGAATTAACAGCCAAGTATTTAGCAGGTTGGGATCTTCACAAATAATGAACATCTAACACATATCTGCCATCACCTACTTGTACAACGGTCGAATACATGAGATCCACGAATTACTTTGTAGAGACGTCTGCTTTGATATCTTGCAAAAATGTGAAGTGGAAAACAATGATCAAGTGGCTTAGGAAGATACTACAAGTTAGCATCCCACTTGAAACAATAATTAGACACAAAAGACTCATAAATCACTTAAGATCTAAAAGAAATTTGTTCGATATGAATATACAACAAACTTTAATTCAATACCGTGTAAACTATATAATGCTTTATTGTATAAACAATTCAATTCAGTACCGTGTTAACATAAATGCACGACTGTGCAACTATTTAATTCCATACATATTAAATATATGATACAATACTGTATTAACTATATAATACATATTGTTTGATATATATAATACAATATTGTGTAAACTTTATAATACAATAGTTTGGAAGCTGTATGATACAGTACTGTAAACAATATAATTCAAACCCGTGTAAACTATTTAATACAATACTGTGTAAACTAAATGATACAATACTGTTTAATGTATATAACACAATACTGTGCAAAGTACAGAATACAATAGTACAGAAACTGTATAATACTGTTCTGTATTAACTATTTAATTCAACCCCGTGTAAAATATATAATACAATACTGTATAAGCTATACAATACAATAATGTTCCAACAGGAAATATTATTTTAGAAATTGTTTTAATAATGTTTTCTTACAACTCGCAATGACCCGTCAACAACATCTACTTCTTGAACCTGTTTGAATTAATAACAAATAGATGAAGTTGAAATAATTTTTAACAAATAAATATTGATGAAATCAGTTTATAACAAATAAATATTGATGAAATCAGTTTATACCAAATAACTAATGATCAAATCAGTTTATAACATATAAATAATGATCAAATCAGTTAATGACAAAAAATTTTAAGAAGTCAGTTGGTTACAAATAAATAATGATGAAATCAGTTAATAAAAAATAAAAAATGATAAAATCAGTTGGTAACAAATACATAATGATGAAATTAGTTGGTAACAAATAAATAATTATGATATCAGTTAATGATAAATACGTAATGATGAAATCATTTTATAACAAATAATTTATGTTCAAAATCAGTTAATTATAAATGGATAATCCTTGCCAGTAGCTTTACTTGATCTCATCCGAGTGTCAACAGTTCAGGCAGGGATAGCGCGTTTACTTCCGCCCCAGCACATTGATTAGGGTAATGGAAAAGGTATCGAGTTATTGGCGAAGGTAATGGCCACTGTATTAATCCTTTAACACATCCTTCCCTGAGGTTGCCGTTGTTTAGAGGGGGGACATCTGATCCCCTTTGTTCTGTGTCAAGTATCTCTTATATTCGGGCACGCGGGCCTCCGGCACTAGACCACTGGGGGTCAAGAAAAATAAGGATATTGTGTTATTAGAGCAAGTATTATTGAATTACAGTAACTTGGCGTCGCTGGTAAATGAAGCACGCCTCTCCCCTGCCACCCTCATCTCA